GCGCCTCCACGTACTGCTGCCGCACCGTCCGCTCCATCTGCACGATCGTCTCCCGCTCCGAGCGCTCCCGCTGCTCCATCAGCCCTGCCTGACGTTCTATCTCCGCCTGCTTAAAGTCTCCCTTTTGTCTCTCTGCATTTGCCTTTGTGCCTTTTAGTCTGTGCAAACCCGAGTGTCCCTCTACGCTCCCTGAGCTGCGAGAGCGCCTGCTGGCCCCTCTCTTCCCACTCTGGCTTCGGTCCTCAGCAGACTCTAATGTGCCACGTGTCAGCGCCTTCTCTGCTGAAGATGTCCCAAACGCGAGGTGGGCTCTCCTACTGACATCACTGTTTCTTCCATCGGAAGGGCGCAGTGACTCGTCGTCGGAAATATCACTGACTTGGTCGGAGAAGTCCATCAGGGCATAGCCTGGTGTCCGAGGGCTCACATCGAACTCTTCCTCTAGCCCACGCCGGGTATACACGTCTACCCATTGTTCTTCCAGAACCGTCTCGAGCTCTACACGACGATACTCTTGAGTCAGCATAATCACATCACGGCCCTCCACTTCTCCGCATAGAATGGCCTTGAACTGGGCCTCAAATTCACGCTGAAGAGCTTCCACCGCTTCTTCTTCCTCGCGCTGATGCTGCTGAGTTTCGTCTTCCGGATCCCGGACCTCAGCGACATCAGCTTCATGGCTTTCCTTTTCTAGGCTTCTTTGATTTCCCTCACCTGCTTCTCCCTCTTGTATTGCTCTATCGGATGGCAAGTCAGCCACCCTTTCCAAAGCGGCAGCCTCAGAACCGGGCACGAGTCCAGTCGCAGGGTCCTCTTGTGACGATTTTTCGAGACCATCTTGGGTGTCATCCTGTTGCATCGGCATGGATATTGACGAGGTTGAAACCCCCCCCTTAGTTACCATCCCGGATTCCGTTTCTGCCGATAGATCCTTCCGTTGTTGATAGTCCTCCTCAATTGTCTGTATTTTTAACGGCGATAGCGGCTTGGGTACCATGGACTCTGATGGTGGCGCGTCTAGCATTTTTTTAGGCAGCTGTGGCACCGGCTCCGAACGAGAGCGCTTCTTAGACTGTCGTTGTGCTGCTCCGGCGATGGTGTACAGGTTGATGGACCTCTCCGGAGCCACTGCACTAGAATGAGCTTGACTCTCGCGAAGCTTCTGCTGGCGTTTTGAGAGGTCGGGATCCACCGGCAGGGACTCGATCGCATCCTGCGTGAGCGGGGAAACCTCCCGGGTCTCCTCCGCGGCCGACGCGACGTCCAACTTGGTGGTCGAAGCGGTCACGCTCGTCGGGAACTGCACCGAGCTCGAACGCCTCTTGGTGGAATGCCCCTTCATCGCACTCCGCGGCACGCCCCTCGAGCCGGAGGCCCGTGAAACGACGGAGGAGACCCCATCATCCAGGGGCACGCGCGAGGTCGCGTCGTCGACCCCGTTTCGGCCACGCCCAGCCGCCCCCGAGGTCGTTCGCTTTCGCCCGGTCTGGGCGAGCCTGGACATGCAGTGGCACTTGGGGCACGTGATGAAGCGGCCCGCGTTATCACAATTCACCAGCGCGCACGGCTGGCACGCGTAGTGACGGCAGTCCACAAGCGAAAAAAAGGCAAAGACGGGGGCGAGGGGGTCCGAGGGCAGGGGGACAGCCCGCCGCTTGCAGAAGACGCAGGTGCTCCGCTCTACCGAGGTGAACCCGGCCACCGTGCCGAGGATCTTCGTCGACATGACGGAAATGTTCTCCGACTGCAAGCCCGCCATTGAGACCTATTGCGGTGCTATTGAGTCGTCGAAAGAACAAATAAAAATCAAACCCGTTCTCGAGTACCCAGACTAAGAGGAGGAAACAAGTATTAGATGGAAGGAAAAGGGGAGAGGTAAAAAATTCTTCTCTACGCTTATTATGATGAATAGCAATTTCTCTATATTAGTATGTGATAGATAGTGATACCCCTATAGTTTATACAACTTCTATTTGTGATCTTCCCTTGCTGAAAGCATATTTGCTCAAAAAAAAATAGAAGCAAAGCAAAAAAATATCAGCGTCAGCATCCAAACGCATTGTGAAAATAAAGATGCGATCGGGTCAAACCACAAACCCTATAAGTCAGTCCTTTATGTTCTTCTGGGTTTTGCACTTTCGACGGGCATGAATACTTCAGATGAGTCACTGAAACCGCCAATATAGCGCCCCCACTGATTTTTTACCAGCAGCAGATAATATTCGAAAGAACTGTTTTCCATGATGAAAATGACTGAGACACTGCTCCATATCACAAGGACAAGATAATGAACTACTAAGAACAAAGTTAAATTGATACATGGCTAGTGTGTTCCTTTTTATTATTGGCACACGCAAATGGAAATGTCAGGGTAGAGAACATAATTATACGCCAACTTGTTTTCCAGTGCTGGTCAATAATTTGTGTATGCATAACTAGCTTATAACGCTTATGGATGCATATGGAGAAGTAATAAGCTCCTTCTCATATTCCTTAGTCCTAGCATTTAGATCAACGAAGTTGCACGTATCTATTAATACTCGAAATATACATATCATAAGGTTTACATTCTTTTCGCATCGTTGACTTCACAAGAAAGGTCTATGATTTACCACACACGATTCTTTATATCCTTCGCCGATCCTTCTTCTCAGGCTACTTTCTAGATTCCTGTGACCTATGACGTTTCTTGTACTGAGGATCCTTCTTTGCTTTTGACTGGCGTGCCGCGGCGACGGCGTCTCCTACCGCGCTCACATCATAATTTGGACTGATGGCCAACCCCAGTTCCGCCTGGACTCGCTCGACGCCCAGACAACGATCAAACTCACTCAAAAGCAAGCCCATGAGACGCTGCTGCTCCGCTTTGGCCACAGCCCCTTTCGAGGCTAATGCCGATGGCGCGCCCGTATCCCTCTCCGACGAGGCCGCGATGGGCGATATCGGCCCCGAGGAGAGCCCTCCACGCGGGGAAGACAACCGCCCTCCTCCTGCTGTTGCTGCCGCTCGTCCACGGTTCAACCTCCCTCGCTCGCTCGCCACCCACGCGTCCAGCGCGCTCGCCAAGGCCGCGCCGGAAGTAGAAGGAAGAGAAAAGGGCGGTGGCTGCTGCACCGGTGCCGAAAAGACCTCCCCGGCAGAACCCTCCCCTACTCCTTTTGCATCCCGCATCGATGAGAAAGGGGGGGCCCCTCCTCGGAGGAGGGTGCTTTGGTATTGATAAGGGAGAACGGCACCAGAGGGAGACCCGCCCTGGCCTCGCTTGACGGCCCCACACGCCATGGCCAGCTGCATCGGGGTGAGGGCGATCAACAGCGAGGCGTCCTCCATCAGCTCCCGCTTAGATTTGTGCGGCATCTTTTTCGCCTCCTCGGCGGACGCCAGGGCCATCATGTGTCGATGAATAGACAGCATTTTCATGAAAAACGCGTTGGAAGAGGTATATTGGGGTTCCTTCTTGGAGGCCACCCTACGTGTGCTGTCTCTACTCTTCGCACTCCCTAGGTTCTGTATGCGCAGAGTGTTTTGTCGGTGCTCGACATCCTCGATTGCTGGATACAGAGGTCGGAGAGATAAAGGATACACCACAAATGGACGTCGTTCCAGAGAATTGAGGAGGTCCAGTGTGATGTATGAAACGTGCTTAGCAGGTCCGTGGGACTGTGACTGATTGGAGCAAATACTTCGCTTTGCGGTGGTTGGAATAGACTCCCTCTCTTCGGGAACCTGACTACTATGTCTTTTACTTCGGTTGCCGAGTGATACTTTACGCCCCGTTGTTTCAGTAGCAGCAGCCTCTTCGATACCCTCAGTGCTCCCATAACTATTTGTCAATGAATTCAACACAGAGGTGTTGAGTTTCAAATACGACTCCACCCCAGGCAGCGGTGGAAGGAGATAAAGTATCTGACTGATAGGTGGGGGCTGTGGCACATCGTGGATCGTTGCATTCGCCGGCATCCTTGCTTCACTAGTGTTCAGTTTCGCAGACTTCACACTGCTAGCAGACCCTTCCATTGCAGTGTGCTCGTCCGTGAGTCTGTCTTGAGAATGCTTTGCAAGGGAACAGTACTGCTGGACCAGCTCATCATCACTTGAACACAAGCCAATGTGTAGCAGACTCACGTCATCGCTGAGAATGATTGACTTTATGAAATCATTAGTGAGACGCTGCGACATAAGCAGGGCACGGAAAAGAGCGGCATCCGATATTTCAGTTTGCACACGCGGCGCACTCAACGATGCTCGCCGAGCGACGCCTTTCCCCAAGGACGAGCCCTGTAACTGAGAACCTCGTCGAGTCATGTCCGTAATATAAGATCTACGGCCCTGCACGCAATCGCTAGGCCTATTGATAGTATTCGCATCGATATCGTCATGATACGACAAAAGATCCTCTGAGATCAGGACAAGGCGAGGAACGGGAAAAAAATCCTCCTCACGTTCCCATTGGCTAGGGAACGCTACTTTGCGATCATTCCTCGCATCCGTGCTGAAGCAGGTGCGGAGCGGCTCGACAAATTTCTTCCTACCACCCTTCCCCTCACGGGCGCCGCGATCGCCCGCGGTAATGCGAGGAAGCTTGCCGGAGGGTTGAAACCGGTCGGGGGTGCGAAACCCTAGCCATCGCGAGAGCCGCTGCGGGTGCAGGTGATAGGTTGGCGGTACACATCCGTAACTATGCAGAAGATAAATCATGCCAGGATTATGAGCATAGTCCATTGGGGTGAGACCGTGCGAATTGCAGCGAAGCATCGTTCGCAAGAAATGAACGGGCAACGACGGTTTACTATGGGCCCCCTTACTGACCTCATCGGCCTCCTTGATCGGCTCGACCTCCCGAAGCAGGGCGGGGACGCAACTGTGGTATGCTGGCGGGAGTGGTGCATCTAGGCCACTTCGGACGAAGTAGTACAAACAGTATGCCAGGTAGTACTCTGCTAGCTCGCACTGATCGTTGATAACAAGAAGGTGTAAAAGGGTGTCGCCGTGTGCCGGACTCTGATAGTGAATACTCAGCGGCTGCCCTCCACGTGTGCGCCAGCCAGGGGGCTGCCACCAGCCCCCTTGCGGCTGCTCATTCTTCGCCGTGAAGGAAAACCACGTGCCCGTCAAGAACAGCCGAAGCACGGAGAAGCTCAGCGGTGCGCGTCTATTCATAAAGAATTCCAGAACATCCAGAGACACAAGGGAGGGGTGGGGGGAGTGCAACACTAAAGAGTTGTGCATACACCAGTCGCCTATGAGATACATAAACCACCTAGGGGAGGAATTCGATGCTATCGATGGGGACACCCGCTGCGATTGGGATTGATTAGAGAAGCCCGTAGGGTCAATATTGTGAAATGCGGTCATATGCAATGCATTTGCCCCCTTCTGTTGCGAAGGGAGTAACGAGTGCCCACCTGGCGTCAAAGGAGATCGCCGAAAATCATCATTTGTGGGGCATGGCGGTACGGTGAGGTTTAAAAGAGGAGCTGCCATCGCTGCAAAACCTTTGCATCGACCTGACCCATACTCCAGCGTCTTCGCGGCGGCGCCCGTTCCCCACAGCACTGCCATCACCTTATGTCGCTTAGTAAAGTCAGCTCCCAATTCAGAATTACCAACCCACCGGCCGCTGTTGTACACGTCGTCCTCGTCTGGTATTTGTTCTCCCACGGTCAAGCCCCCACGCGTTCCCCTGAAAGAGGCATGCCCAGGTCTACTGGAATGTCCTGAGGTCAATGAGTGCCGAAAAATTGTCGGTGTATGAGAGCCTCGTGAATGATGCGTATGGTTTTTGGCTTCTTCCTCCTTTGAAACTTCGGGAATGCTAGCAATGGAGTCCTCACCCAAGATACGGTGTGTGGTAGATAGTTTTGAGGTAAAAGAAGAGTTGCTCACCAACGCTACAGGACAAGGCATCTCCAAGGCCTTTGGGACGCTGGTTACGGTCGAAAGTGAAGTGTGTAAAGGTACATTTGCACCGGTTCGTGGGTAGATCTCCGTTGATTTACTCATGCTGGACGAAATTCCCTCCGGGATCCCGGTTAGCATGTCTATACGGTCGTACCGTAAAGGTGACATGAGCTGCTGTAACACCGCAGAGCCCTTGGCTTCTTCTTCCGCATACCAATTTTCGCTGCTCTCATACAAATACCGCAACAGACGAATACTTCCGGCAGCTACTGCCAGTAAATCCACATGTTTATCCTCGATGATATCACGCCAAAGTGCGCTTTGAAGCTTTTCTAGTACGCTGTTCAGTTGGTACGTATTGTGCACACTCGCAAGTGAGGGGCAGTAAGCTGAGGCTGCGGTCAGTGCCGCGGCAACCGAAGGATCGGCAAATTGTGAACGAGTGGCATTCGATGGAGTTCCACCATTCCCATTCCTCCCTTGCTTAGACCCCGGTGGCGACTGATCCCGCATCCGTAGTTTTGACGGCATTTGCTTCACTTGCCGTGGAATACGCAGCCGCACGAGGTCCAGAAACACATCGACATCGTCGTAGCGAACAGCAAGCTCCGCTACATCACCAAGCAACGTGTGGGCCCAGCCGCAAGCGAGGGCGTTTTCACCACCTCCACCCGCCCTGGTCCGCTGGCTACTCACCGACATTCCTTCCCTCTCACGTTCATTTCGTGGTGTAGATACCAAAGAAGCGAGGTCTCGCGTGCTAATACGCAAACCCTTCTTTGAGTTGTTTTGAGTTGGTGTGGTAGAACTCAAGTGCACAGTTGTACCCTTGTCATGGCTTGTTTCATAGGAGTTTTGATAAGTCTTCGCGCCGTTGGGTAAAAGTAAGGGTGCTGTCGCCTCTGCTGAGACTGGTGCTTTCAAGAAAGAGCGAAACCCTGTTGGCTTCACAATAAGGGTGTCAGCCGCGGTAAGTGCCATCATTTGCAGCAAGAGGCTCACACGGGAGGAAATATAGCTCCACGGGTTCAAGGGTACCCTATTCGATTTCTTTTCCTTAGGCGACGGGGTAGGTTTTCTATTGTCTCCTCGGAGGCACTGCAATGGGGATGAAGCCCCCTCTGCAATTTCGACTCCCTCCACAAGGCGATGCCGCCCTCCTTGGGAAGCGCCCTGTAGACCATTCATGGGATTTTCAAGTGCTGGGCACTTCTTTTGAATCAGATATACCGCGGCTGCAGGTGCACCAGGGAGCAATGCATGGAGCAGGAGATCCCACTTGGCTGTGGTGATATTGAGTTCAGCCAACCGCCCCGCGTACTGTGCGTACAACAGGTTTACCCAGAAGGCATTCATGCACGCTGGTGCAGTGAGGAAATACGTTGCATAGGACGCGTAGGCTGCGGTGATTTGGAGCGCGGGAATGGGGTGCAGGTTAGGATACACCATCGTCAGAAAGTTGATGAGCTCACTCTTTCCTGCTTCCGTGGCGATACAGCTTAAAATGGTGAATAGCGTCTCACCGTCCACCTCGTCGTAGTACAGGCGAGTTGCAATATTTGCACGCACAGTCGCATCAGATAAGTTACTTATCAACAGTAGTCTGTGGTATTGATCGTCGCTTGGATGCTGCTCGCCTTCCGTTTGCTTAGACCGATGCCCGCCTTCTGCCACTTCTGACCCCACGGTATTCTGCAGAGAGGCTGAACCTGATACCAGTTTCAACAATTCCGGGCAAGATGGTTTCGCGAGAACAAGCTGACGGACAAGACCCATGTGGCCAATCAGCACCGCAATGGATAAGGCAGTTTCCCCGTCTCCGGCACTATGATACAAGTCTGGAGTCTCCATAAGATTGGCGATGCTCATCGCAACCCTCAGGAGGGGTTGCACGGACTGCAACGTAAGGGTACGAGGTGGGACCTGTGGTAAACTGTCTCTCGATGCGCCCTGCGTGACGCTCTTGTGTGAGTGGATACTCCCTAAAAGCAATGATGTCTTCCTCTTGAAGGTAAATTTCGTACCCTCTCGGATGTTCGTCTGACCTTGACATGGCACCTGTGGCAGGCCGCCACTCAAAAGAAGCGAATGACGGTAAGCCTTCTTTAGAATAAAGGTAAGCAAAGTGTCTTTCGTGATCGGATGAACAACTGATATGGCGCTTTGGTCCTGCGTACTATGTGTGAATTTGATTTCTTTGAGTATGGTCTTGAGCAGAGCCGGGTTGTGCTCGGCCGTGGCAAAGAGAAGCGTGACGTAGTAATAATACTGGAAACCCATATCCTCGTGGGTGCTGTCGCCGGTGTGAAAGCTATCATCCGGCACAGACGAGATGAACGGATCCTTTTGCTGAGCAATTTTCGCTGTGAACAATTTTGAACCTAACGGTGAGAACACCATCGCTTTAGTACTTCGCTTAGACTCCAGATTCACTCGGGGTTCCGAGTGCATGCGAGGAGAAATGAACGTCGTCGTCTGCGCAGGATGCGGGGCAATAGAGGAAGAGTGATGCTGCTCAAAGTTTGAAGCCCCGAGTGGATTACACCCTGGCCTGCTGCGTTCCACTCCCTTCCGTAGCAAACCCGTATCGGTCTGCTGAACCAGTGAAAAGTTTTCATGATCATTGGAATTTGGGCTAACTATTCTGGGGAGCCGCGACATGGGTACGATTGACGTGACGTTAAGGGACAGGCCGAAGTTGTGATGATGCCACCGCTGAAGCATCTCCACGTAATTTTCCTGATCTTCCGGAACGCCAATCGTGCTGTGATACTTCTTATGGCTGGCCAGAAGTAATGTCGTGGCCCTCTCCCCTGCATACCCATCGATGGACACCGCCAGCATCCACGCGTCCATCCCATTGGCATCAAAATGCCCACTCGTGGTCGCCCCATACAAGAGGAGCTGCTCACAAACCTCCAGCGCCCGCGCCATCCGGGGCGTCATCGTTGACGTCTTCACAGGGGAGGCCTGACGGGAGCCCTGGTGCGTTCCTCGACCCCTGGGTGAAGGGTCCCGCCCCGCACCGTGCGCGCGCCCATTCGGCCCCATCCCGTGCATCATCCCGAGCACCTCCTCTAGCGGAGACCGCTGAAAGGGATCCACCCAGGGGGGCTCCACATGCTCCACAACGGCTCCCCCACCTCCATACGGAAGCCCCGACGGACTCGTCAGGAAGGCCACCACGGTCGGGGCATTAAGGGTGCGCAGGGCGATCCGGAACGGCGAGAGCAGCCACTTGGCGTCGGTTTGCTCGTTAAGATCCTTCAAGGGGAAACCCGAAGGGTGCGGGACACCCCCCAACAAACCAGACCCGCGGTCGGGCTCCACGGAGGTCATGGAATGCCATGACGTGTCGTGCGCGACGTGGTCCTCGTCGGGGCCGTGCTTCCGATGGGGTGTGGAGGCATACATGTAGGCATTCAGTAATTCCCCTCTTTGCTGAGACTTGGGATGGGTCGGATCACTCGACGGGAAGGATCCCTGCTCCCTCCGCGCCCGCTGTGCCGGGGCATGCAACGGGTTGAGATGAAATTTCTTGATAAAAAATGACACCACGTGTGGCAGCTCCAAGGATGCAGAGAGTTGCAAAATCGAGTAGTTAAACAAGCCCTCGAACATTTCTTCCGTAAAGAGTTTGTCAAAGCTGTTATGGTCGTAGCACACGGCATCGCTTCCCTTACCCACAGCATCATCTGATGTGGCATTCGTGTGGTCGTCCACCTTTCGATCACCCTTTGGATCAAGGCTGACTTTCCCAGGTTGGTAAAGACAGGGCTTATCTTTTTGAGAAGTTCTAACTTTATTCATGTAATGATTTACCACCCCTTCCATCTCCTCTAGAACGGTCAGGCCGTTATTCCGTCGCCCATACAATCGAATAACATGCGTGAGTTGGTGGCATAAGGCGGAATCGGCATCGATATCCTTGAGCTTCGCCGTCTTCTGCAATGCTACACGCCATGTTTGGAGCATCTGTGCATCATTCAGCCACCATAGATGAGGCGTGGCTAGCGAGGAGTGATGACTTTCAGTAGAAAGATGCTCCTGCAGATACTGAAAAACCTCCTTACAAAAAGGCACGACCCTCGTAGGTGCAACGTACACATCGCAATGCTCTTGAAGAAATCCCGTGATCGCCTCACCGTGAATCATGGCGGAAGGATTCTGAATACCAACCACTGGGCTCTCCGCTGAGACAAGCTCCAACATAAGGAACACCTCAGGAAGGGCAAACCCACGTAAAAGATGCGATATTACATGAGGAGGTGATGTAGGGGTGATCGCACGCCCGCGCACCAAAAGTGCACGCATGATGAAGCTACGACGTGTTTGCCCATGCGTTCTCCCATCCATGGGTTCCTCCTTGGCTTTAATGGAATGCGTGGAAGAGGTGATCTTTCGGCCTTTGGTCTGCGTCCGAGTGCGCGACATGAGGGCCTCGGTGTAGTTGGTTGCCTTCACATTGACACACGACCGGCCATTGCGCTCTCGGACGGCCTCGGTGTGGTAACGGCTTCGGGTGACCGATCTCCCGCCGGAGCCCTCGTTGGCTCGCTGCACAGATGTGGACATACTATTCGTGAGCGTCCCGGCGATGTTGCTCGACACGGGCCTCCCATCGAAGGCCTCGGAGCTTCTGTTTGTGAGGCTGTCGTCTCTGCCACTGTCCGTCTCAGACTCGGCCGCCTCTTGACTTCCCCCGCCTCCAGGGTCCTCCGATCCCTCCTGCAGGGGGTTGTATAACGCGAAGAAACGTTCACGAAACGCCTCGCTCGCAGGGTATAAACCCTGACTCCCAAGCGTCAGCATCGACATCACGACCTCGTGCAGGCCGTTCTTCATCGCCTGCAGAAGTGCAACGCACGTCCCTTCGATCACCGGCCCGCCAGGCTGCTGGGTGGTTTGAGGTGTCAGAGAAATGATTACCTGGGCGGTGAAGGCGTGCCCGGCGTGAATCGCAACGAGCAGCGGGGTTCGTCCTTGGTTATTCGCCACGCTAATAAGCCCGACAGCAGGTTCTCGTGTGGTGAAGGGACGCAACTCCCTTAGACGAGATATTTCCTCGTCGCTGAACTGCTCGAGCAGGTACTCGACGACAGACGAGGCGCCCTGGCGAGCGGCGACGTGCAACGTCGTGTTGCCGCCCACGTCGGATGCCAAGAGATCCAGAACGCACATCCCATGCCGCAGCTTGTTTCTCGAAAATGCCAGTAATGTCATGGCAACGTCCTCTTGGTTGTTCAGCAAGGCCGTGTGCAGCGGGGTGTATCCATTTGTCTTGCTACGAATGTCGAGCGAGGCCCCCTTGCTCAGGAGGACCTGCACCACTTGCTTTTGTCCGAGCTCACAGGCGATATGCAGCGCGGTGCAATGGGAACGGGGTTCGATGGCGTCAACGTCGAGAATCGGCTTCTCGGAGCCGTGAAAAGGTCCTTTCCTAGTTTGCGTCTTCTTTACGACCTCAGCGCCGTCGAGCGACCTCGAGTCCAGCGTAGTTTGTACGGATAAGCCAGGGGCATCCTCATTTTCCTGTCGAACAAGCTTCGCGACCTCCTGTCGGCTGTATGTGTGCTCCAGCAGCGCTAACGCGGCCTGCTCATTCCCGAATGTTACCGCGAGTAGCAGCGGTGAGCTATCCTCCAACATAATTTGAGGATCTGCCCCTCTACTTAAGAGTAAGGGAATGATCTCCGGCAGGTTGTTCAACGCGCTCCAGCACAAACATGAAGCCACACCAACGTGGTTAAGCAACGAAGCGTCGTAGCGGTCTTGCCCTTCCCGCCGCGCATCCAAAAGAGCAAGCGCGATGGGCACGCAGCCGTTCGCACATGCAATCTCAAGCACGTGCTCCCGCGTGGAGCGATCCACAGCGGTGGCCTTCGCACCAAGCTCAAGCAAACGTACTGTTAAGTCTATGTTGTTATGGCGAGCGGCCATCGCCAACGCGGATTCCCCGAGAGGAGTTAGCATGTTTAAGGCTTCGCTGAGAAATGATAAATGCGGCGGCGGCACCGCGGCTCGAGAACGCGTCGAGGGCGCGAGACACTTCTGGAGAAAGTCTGTCAGAACCATGGCGCATTCCGTGTGATTGCCTCCAAGCAATGCGCAGTGTAGGGGTGTATACAAGCCCCTGCGCACAACATACAAGGTATCTAAAGAAACACTGCTTGAGAAGATGGAATAATCGCTAGATGAAATCGATGAAGTGCCCCAAAAGGGGTCACCATCAAAGTAATCCGACCGATCATAGCGCATAGACCGCTCCCCACCGTAGGAAAGAAGGGCCGTTTGTTTTCGGCGGCAGAAATCATCCTGCATCTGCTTCAACTCGTCACTTGTCATTTGAATGCCAAAGAGCTTAAGAATTTCGTGCGGTGGGATAAACTTGCACAGCACTCGAACCACCTCTTCGTAACCCAGAGCACATGCGGCCAGTAAAGCAATTCGGCGAGAATGAATAGACACCTTCGAAAAGACGGTAGTTTCGTCCGAAAGATGCAACGCTGACAGCGGTGATATGGAAAGGATATCGTACGCTATATAGGGTAGTCTAAAGGCTAGAGCCGCACAGAGAGGTGATAGGGGGATGTCTTCAGCGATAATCGTGTATACTTTGTCTTTGCCCTCGATAAAGTGGCTGTAATTCGCTCTCATGTGAGCTTGCGTGCCGCGTCCACGTGTCACGTCGGCGCCGCCTGGAAGGAAGTGTCTGGGTTTGGAGGGAGCAATGAAGTATCCACCATTTTTCACGTTATGAGGATCCCCTGTACGTCGGGGAATCCATACGGGGCAGTGGAAGGTGAGTCCTAAAGATCCTCCATCGCCGGGCTTCCGATTTTGCCCGCCTCGCATGAGTGGTTTCGAGAAGGTCCCGATAAGCTCCGGATGCGTCGAGGCTGACGGAATTGTCGAGCTGAACATCATCAGCGCGGAACTTTCCGTCCCAGAAACGCCCTCGACTCCCGCATTTTCGGCCGCTTGGTGAGCGCTGAGAGACGTGAAAGATGCGTGGGAAGACGTCAAAATGCGAAGCAAGAGGCGGAGCTTGTAAGAACGGTCGAAGAGCTGCAACGGCTTCAACGAAGCGGTAGACCTCTTCGCGCCTTTTCTTTCCAAGCCGAGCGCACCGCCGTACGCTGACACATCATCTCGAACCCCGAGGCGAATGAGTGCTTTGTTCAAGTTGAAATACTCCTCGATGGTATTATAAAAAATCAAGCTATCCTTGTCAAAGGCAAAACGAAGTACGGTTGCAGATTCCAAAACGTTCTGGTTGGGTTCATCGGTGGCATTTTTGAAGCGGTCATTTCGCGCGGCGCCCAGCCTTGGCTTTTCTCTCTCAATATCCTCGTCTTCTTCCATGTCGAGTACACGAAACTGCATCTCATCAACCATCTCCTGTGTAGCCAAAAGAGTTGCAGCAGGGTACAAACGACGGAACCGTGGAGAACCTGAAGTCGTTGCGCTGATCTTTGAAAAAACCACGCCTAAAGCCGCCCCGTTGACAAACAGGGATACCTCATCCTTCACGATATCGTACGCAAAGCCAAAGTTAAGCGCATGGGTGCCGTATAATGGCATCTCATCATCCACCAGGACCCCATATTCCCCCTGATGCCCGTACGGTGGCAGCTCGGAGGTAGAAATTTCCTCTCCAGCCCTGTTAGACCCTTTCCCACCGCTCTGATTTGCACAATCGGATTCATACGGAGGGCGATTAAGGTCTGATTTCGTAATCACCTCCACTTTGGGGTAGATTGTGCCAAAACGGCGAGGACAGAGGTTCGTACCACGACAGATATCACGGCGAAGGATGCGAAGATACACCATCTCTGGTGGTTTCGTTGGATCCGTCAAGTTCCGCATCACTGGCGTCGTTTCCCCATTGCAATGCCTCCACACGCCCCACACAATCTCCTCCACCTCCTCGACGAAAGATGCAGTCTCCCGCACCACCGCCGGCTCTCGAGGCTTTTGGTAAATCAACTGCAAGGATACGCCAAACCCACCTTGTGTCGCGCCTAATCCATTTCTAGGGATCTCCCCACACAGCAGCTCCTCTGGGTTCGGCTTTCCGTCGTCGACGATGCCCTCGCGCGTTGGAGGGGGCAAAACAGAGACCGGGTCGATGGGAGGGGCGGGGGGATGTCGTCCCCCTTCTTTCCCGAGCGATGCCACCTCCTCCGTACACCAACCCATCGTGATGTTTGTCATCGGATGCGCCCCAGCACCCCCCCTTCTTACGGGGGGCAAGAGGAAGTCCACGGAGACCTTCCCTTCGTAGTAAAAAACGCTTCTGTTGCCGTGAAGACGCGCTTTCCCGGCCTTCGATCGCGTTGCCTTCGGTAAGGGCGTGGAGTGGCCGCAGGATCTCGAAGGAAAAACCCCCATAGTCGGCTCAAGAAGCTCCACATAGGTATCCCCCCGCACGAGGATAGGCCGCGCCGTCGGACGAAGAGGAACATACCCGCGCAACCCCACCCGACGTAAATACAGCGTCGAATAGGAAGGCATCGTTATCGCATCCGGCGATCCAATCGACCACGCATCCAACATCCCATGAAGCAGAAGATCGTTAAACGAGATCTCATCATGGGGCTCCTCCAGGGTATTTTTCGGCCCCTCCCCACTGACGACCTCCTTTAGATGCGCCCGCTCCAGTCGCTCCTCGATCTTTTTGGCGAAATTGTGCAAAAGGGCTTCCTGTGTGGAGGAGTGGATCGCCGTATCGATATTGAGGGGACTCTTCTCTCTTTTTTCCTTATCCAACGCTAGCCGTCGAACCTGCAAAAAAAGCCGAAGCCGCTGCACGGAACCATCCAAAAATGATGAAAAAGGCGAGGCGTTACTCCTCAGAGAGCTCGAGCGATTGAGCCGATCGTAGCCACCGTAGTAGGTCAACAACGCGTCTTCATCTCCTTTCGACTCCGTTTCCTGATTTTCATCCTCGAATGATAGCGTTTGCTTTGAGTTAAACAAGAAGTTCTCCTCTTTATTCTCACTCGGGTTGTCTCTATCGTTGTCGACAAGCTCAGAAGTATCGTGCTGCAGAAATAGCAATGAGGACTGCTCCAACAACTGCTGCCCGCTTTCCTCGCTCGCTAAGGAGGCGTCCTGCAAGATTTTACCGCTCAGCGGCTTTCCGACCGTGCAATTTTCGTCGGCGGACTCCTGATACTCCAGTAACGTCGCCTTCACCAGGTGAAGCTGTGCATCAAGGAACGCCGCGCAATCCGCGTCGTGCGCGTTCATGCTTAAAAACAAAAGAACATGCAAGGCTTGGTCGTGAAAGAACTCACACCCTAGCATGCACTCCACCAAATCGATCTGCCCGCTCAGCAACGCCGCATAAAAAAACAACACTTTCGTGAGCGCTAAATAACGCGCATCGAGGAAAGAAACAACGGAGGAGAGGATGAGCTTGGCGAAGGCACCGACGCGACCTTCCTGAATCGCGCAGAGCACGACGTGCGAGAGATCCGGCAGCGCCGCTAAATCGGCGGGCAGCGGCGCCGCAGCCTCCCCCACAGCAACCCCCTCAGGGGTGGCTATTTTCAACCGCCGCGGGGAGCCTTTTTCGCCGCTGAGCGCGATTCGCCGCGCGGGATGCTGTGGCTGTTGTTGTTGTTGATACTGTTGATGCTGTTGTTGCGCTTCGCGCGCGTAAATCAGCCGACACGTCGTCGTAACAACGGAATCCAGCGGCACCATCGTGAGAAGCTGCCGCAACGCGAACGGATCGACGATCTCGTTCACGTACCACTCCACGAAAGACCCCGTACTCCCCCCTACACGGCGGTGAAAAAACGACGACGACGGCGCGTCGGGTGCGGGCAAAGGGGGAAGGGAAAGCGAAGACGTAGCAGCAGAATAAGAAGGAGGAGGATCCGCCGTCGTTCGCGTTTCCACCGCGCGTTTCACGCGGCGGCAGCCCCACGTCTTGTTGGAATCCCGTAACGCCAACACCCGCGCGGAAAAGGAAAAAAGCAGTTCATTTCGTAGCCGTGAGATCACCTCACTCGCGGGGAGCGGGAGCGCAAGGCGATCCTGCAGCTCCTTCGCCCTGCGCTCGAGGGTCTCAAGGGATTGCCGCCACTCATGAAACGCTAACGGGTTTGGGGGGATCGCTTGCCGTCGTGGAGAATCCCTGTCGTTCTGGTGCTTTCCACCCATCGAACCCCCATCGGGTTCGCGAAAGCTGCCCAGAAACGGGGGCAGCCCTTTTAGCGGCGGGTAGGGGATGTCGACGAGCGAGAAATCGGCGGATGTGCCCCCCTGTTGGGAAGGAGGGAGGGCATTTAAGACGGCATGCGCGACACCCAACGGGTTCTCTCCAATGCCAAGGACTTCTTTATCCTTAGACACCGCCGTGCTGGACTTGTCCGGGGTGTAGACGTCACCCATGGTGGCCGTCGGCGCGATGGGAATCTTCAACGTCCGAAAGTCCTTCGTGGCTTCTAATTTGCTAACTACATAATAAAGTTTTTCCAAACGACTATGGATGTTCTTTTGCTCGAATGCATACTTTCCTTTGACCCCTGCGCGTCGACTTTCCCGGAGGTGATAGTGAAACTCTGAATTTTTTCGAAGGGGGTCGTTGCCCTGCCGGATATCCTCCTCTAGCGCCTCATAGTAAGCGTCTAATATATGGGTTTGCCCCAGTAACTTGTATTGATACCTCTCAAGCGCAACAATCGCCTGTTGGAGCTTGTCAAAGGCTACATTCAGACCATTTTTCTTCTTTAAATACGGAGGCGCATCGTTATCACTATCCTCCACTTGGCTATTGGCTTGCCCAGACAACGGTGGAATACCCACAACAACGTCTATCAGCCACATGTTAAAGTTCTCTTCAGAGCACACACAAAGTTCGGAAAAGTTCTCTGAGAGCTGTAGTCGCGAGCACTCCTCACTCGGTCTCCCCATACTGGATGTCGTCATGCTTCGTGGCGCAGTTGATGTGGTGGTAGTAGATGATTGCGCAAGATTCTGAAAATGCACTGATGGCGACAAACGAGTAAACCCATCTTCTTTCGTGGTTTTTTTATCTTCTAAACGCCCTTTTAAGTACGTTTGACGCCCACTCAAAGGAAACGAAGAATGAGGTGGAGAGAGCTGAGCACGAGGGGACGACAGCCTCCCCGCTTCCCCTAAAAGATTTGTTGCTGCTGCTGGAGGGGATGCGAATTCGTGTGGAGGACGATCTGCTGACAGCTTTGACATAAGGATTGGAATTGGTTTCTTGTGGTCTCACGATTGTTGACCTTACGGAGATTTAGATACATTTTGATATTTGAAATTACACGTTTAAGGAAAAAGTATATAAAGAAGGAAAATAGAAAAATAAGCCGGTAAAGATGGGTCCGTGAGTAGCATCAGACTCAGAGAACAGACATTGCTTTTCAAAATGCCCATACCATAGAAGCAATACGGATTTCCAGTGATCCCTTTGCATACTTTCATCAGAACTTAAAACACCTAACATTGATCCATAGAGCCATTCCAGGTAGTGTTATAAAAAGGTCTTTAAGAAGAAACTTGCTCACACCAATATATCTTGTTCATTGTATTTTAAACAGATACTGTTAAAATTTTCGACACACCACCTCCCAAGCGACAGTGTACTAGATCTTCACTTTCTTTAGTGGTGGAAATATGTGGCGAGTGGATTCGTTGATAATGGACAATATCTTCTTATTTTCTCGCTCTTAGGCCAATAGTTCAAAACAGCAAGCTACCAACAGAGATGAAAAAGAACTTCCCTCTCGCACCGAGGCACCCCCTGCCCACACACATAGGCCAAAAGGGTAAAAAGAAAAAATAGAACCGCGCCCTTCCCATGCGTATACCTCTGAGCTTACACAAACGGACAGAAAATATGAAATCATGACACTTCATTCTACTAAACATACGAGAAGAGATGATTTCTCGCACTGGTGGGTTGAACATATATACATATATATATATATATATATATATGATATTGGCGTTCACTAGGGCCCTTTTTCGACCGCCGTTGTTTTTTTTACCCCTTACCCCACCCCCCCTTTTCTTTCTTCTTTCTAGCCTCGCCGCTTGTACATCCCCTTTCCTTTGCTTAGTTGGGAATCTGCGCCACCATTTTCGAGACGTACGAAGAAACCCCCACCACCTGCGTTCTCCATCTGGCAACGTGCTCGGCGAGCTGCTTCAACTCCTGCAACCTCAGTACGCGCGGTTCCACCCATGTGATGCGAACCTCCTCTGTTAGCCCGTCGATGCGGCCGTGCACGATACCGTGCGCGAGAGCCGTGAGCAGCAGCGGCTCCACCTTCCCCTCCTCCACGAGGCAACGTTTGGCAATCGTTTGAAACGAAAAGGTGCGCTTGTTGAAAGGAGTGTAGAAGGCTAAGTGTAAAAGTGCGGTGAGGCGTACCTTTTCCTGCAACGCCGTGCGGGCCGCATCAACGAGATCGGCAACCTGATTGATCTCGGTTAGATGAGCATCAGTGAACTCCTGGAAACCCTCCACGTTGCCCTCATTGCAGAGCCGTAGCCACTCCAGAACCCACCGATGCCTCGCCGAGCCCTCCAAGGCGGCTACCAGAGAAGTGTTGTTGAGAAACTTGCCGAAATTAAAGATCTCGTCGGACAAGAGTGCAGCCACCGCCGTTCTGAAGGCGAGTTCATCCATCTCATCCGGTAGTAGCGGCATTTCAGCCTTATCTGAGTACGTCACGATGGCAAAGGTGTTTTTGTAGAATTGTGTATACTGCTTTCGTAGCTCGTAGTCCTTCCCACGAGCTTTACAGTAGAGCATTAGAAGAAGCGGCTCCGCTTCATGCATCTGCAAACTCCCAATGTAGGTGCTGAGCTCTTCAAGAAGCTTACGCGCCACATATGAGCCGCTTTCAGGATCCGCCGCGCTCTCCTCGTTAATGTTGGAGGAGCTGCTTGAGAGTAGAAGCATCGCGCGAATGCACTCTACCGCATGTCTTTCTTGTGTTGCGCCACGCCCCAGGAGACTTGCAGAAGCCCCTTCCACGATATCTAGAGCCTTTTCTAAGCTCCCATTAGGAGAAAAAACGACCGAATAAATAAGTTTCACATACGCTATGGGGGATATATCGGCACGAATATTGCGTAACACGTTGTCATGGAGGTCGTAGGCACGTGCGAGGACGACGGGATCCCGCATCACCTCCAAAAGCGTTAATGACATCTCATACCAATGGCGGCGATAATACTCATTGAGCGAGGTCTGAATCGCCGCCGCCGTTTTCTCTTGTCCGGCCTCCCGTAGCTCATTTTTCAGCGTGTTTAAATATTCATGTGTGTTTTGCTCCATTTTTCTTATTAATGCCTTTCTCTTCTCTACCTTATAGAATTTCACCTAGGAACGGACTTCTTTAACACCGTGTATGAATTTGTTTTAGATGCTTTTTCACTTGCAAGAATATAAAGGGAAAAAATGAATCCTCCACAATGCGTCTTCGAAAAATACCGCAAAATTACTCTTTTAGACAAACGGATACAAAGCATGCGTTTGTGTGGTAACAACACGTATACATATACGTATTAAAAATTATGGCAATCAGTCAATTTTTTTTCCAACAAACAAGGGGCCTATAAAGAGAAATGGAAAGTCTAAAAAATATTTAGAAACCACTTTGTCCCGCTATTATTCATGTGTTTCAACTATTCCGTCATCACAAAGATTAAGGCAAAGGATAAGTAGTCGCGAAGGAATCCAGCATCAGTAGCTCAGCCTCACCCTGCCTCGCCTTGATGGGAAGAAATACAACTCGAAAAAAGAAGAATATGAAAGAAAGATGAAGCCAAAACTATTTAGAAGTTGCACGTCACTAATGCAACAACTCGGGGAAAAAAATTAGGTAGAAAATGGCGAGACAGCGTCAACATGATGTCCCTCCTTTACTTTAATTTTCTCTTTCCTCTTCATTTTAGATTCTAGCACAAATTTGTCACCTTCTAATATGCCCTTTATATTATTTATTCCCATTATCCCCACCCTTTCTGTTTTTAGCCACACAATTTTTGCTCCCATCAGTATAACGCTACGCACGTCTTCGCGTGATTGATGATGTGGAGGATAATAGCACGCTACTCTTCCAACACATCATCCCCCTCTTTCGTAGGTATTCCCTCCTACCCGAGATACTAAACCTTTGAAATCACAATAAACTGAGCAGCTCCATCAGAGAGGGGGAGGAGGTTGTCATTAAGTCTCCATAAACAACAGTAACAGAATGGGGAAAAAGGGGAGTAGGGGGAAATGCGCCCCACCTTTTCCTATCGGTCACATCTTTCCGAGAGCTGCTTCTGTATTCCTTCAATAAAAAACCACATCAATATTACCTGTGGTACGCAGCGCACGGCCTCCATAAGGGATCCCGCGTACAAGCCCCGAATCCCCTCCTTCGCATACACCCGTCGAAGGCAATTCCCAACACTCGTGTAGAGTATCCTATCGTTGCTCTGCCCTGACATTCCAATCCGGCGCTTGGCAACATCCAACGGAAACGTTACCGCGATGGAGGCTAACGCCGCGAGCGAGCCGCCCACCACCGTGGAAAGCACATTCCGTGTGGCATGATTCGTGTTAAAAAGCACCGGATTCGGGCTATCAAGCAGAGCATACTTCACCGTCTCGTAGGTGGCGAAACAAACGAGGATATCCGGTACCCTCTGCATCGACGAGGCGGCGAAACCGCGGTAGAAATTCCGAACCGAATTCGTCTCCCGATAGATCAGCCGACAAGTGGTGAGGATCCCGCTGAACCGCCGCTCCCCGGACATCAGCCGGAGGCGAACAACCTCGCCAGGGTAAACCACCGCGCTGGCGAGGATCGCCGCGATCCCGCCCGCGCCGCACTTGATAAGGAACCGCTCGAGCATCTCCACCCGCCGCCCGCGCTCGCCCGACGCCCGGTCCAGCCAATCCTGCATCCAAAACTTCACCCGCCCGTAGATGGCGAACTGCAGCCCGCTGTAGGGCACGCGAATGATCATGGAGGTGAGGTTGCCCCGCCAGAAGCCGCGGAGGCCGTCGTGGGCGTAGACCCATCGGGCGAGCTGCCAGACCCCGTAGCCGGGGTGCTGCCCGAGCTGCTGGAGCACCACGATGCGCTGGAAAGGGCTGAGGATGGACTTCGCGAGCGTCCCACCACAGCTCCCCGCCAGGACATCAATCCAGAGGGCGAACTTCCTCTCACTATCGGTGTGTCCCGGCATGTCACAGCCCTGGCTTCAAAAGGGATTAAAAAAGGGATAAAGGATAAAGGAGTATAGTGAGGTATAAAGAGGTCGAAGGATCCTCGTGACACTTTTGCCCCCAACTATGCTATCACTCTGTGGTATGATCGGAAGACAAACAATTGCGTGAACGATCTTGCATCGGTATGTGTAGCTATGTATAATAATTACGTTTGTTGTACAGATCCTTTCCTATGAATCAAGACCGCCGGTCCTGTACCAATGTAAGATAAAACTCTCCCAGAGAATGAAGAAAATGATCTATACTCCACAGTCTAGGTCGACACGATCATTTTTTACTGATCTAATCTGATAGGCTAAGAAAAATATTCGCGATCACTTTTCGGATTCCATACAAAGCATTTAATTTTCTCTCATTTGCATTTGTTGTCTTGCATCCTTCAATTCAAGTTTCAAAAATGTATTAGAAAATTAAAAAGAGGATTAAATCTACAAGGCAATTCAAAATAGAAATTATCGCAAAAATCGAAAATAAGCAATGTTTGAGATACGGAATGGGTTAGTGTAAATATATTTGCCTGCTTTCTCCACAAGCTATAGGTGTCAGTTTTACATCGTGGGAGTCGTTATTTCCCTTGAGGAAGCGGAGGGGGGGGGGGGGAAGAGGGGGAAGGGGAAGGGGAAGGGGACGAGAGGGGGAAGAAGAACTAGTATAAACGAGCGAAGAACGAAACCAACGGCGGCAAGCAAAAACTGGACCCAAGGCCCGTATGATCCCTCCAACGCAGTGAACGCGGTGACGCTGTCATAACTCAAAATCTCCATTACAAGTAAACATGAACACGCGGAATGAGATTCATAAGAAAAAAAAAATGTGTTTAGATGATGTGTGGAAATAAGGGTCAGTCCACAAGATTAACTCCATAAAAAAGTGATGGAGTGAAGACAGGGTTTAAGACAAGGCTTTCCAAAATCCTGATAATTCTCCTTGAAGAATGTTCATTGAGGAATTCTAAGTAATTAAGAAGAAAAAAAAGTGGCAGTTAACTAATCCGTTCGTGTGCATAAAGAAAAAAGGATAAGAAAGATGTGCAACCCTCTTCATTTTTAGGAATCCCGCAACCATAAAGGGGTTGTTCTTCCCGAACTCTCCGTAATCTCCTCTACGCCCACTTCACACTCTAAATCATCATCCACCTCCTCCACCTTATTCCTCTTCTCCATATACTTACCCTGAACAAGGCCATCTTGACGAGTTGAATTAGCTCGCACATCTGCATTCTTCTCTGAATCACTCCGTCCTCTCTCTCTTGGATGTTGCGTGGATTCCCTCGCGGCGCCCATCTTCCGCTGTTGAGGAGGTAAAGCGTCGCGTTTCACGGAGGATTGTTTTGCTCTTTGCGGGGATTCCTCACTTGGCATCTCATCAGTAATTCCTTCCTCCTCTACGGGAAGCCCCACACACGGCTGAACGGACCGTACTGCGCTTACGTTTCGTGGTGTGATGCTCACCTCATTAGCCTCATTGGGGGAGGTGTGAAGGGGTAACGTTGAACCTGCATTAAACCTCGTGAGCCCTGAATCGCTTTTCGAATTCTCGTCATAGGGCATAGCCGCAGCAGCCTTTGATTTATTGGAAATGGAATTTAAATCAGAATTTTGCCCGCGCGTAACGCTGTTACCCTTCGTTGAGGGAGTGAACTTGCCGGTCTCCCTTGAAGCCGGATTCGACAGCGCGCGCTCAGGCGGAGGTAAAGGGTTGTTGCTTCTCCTATGTAGGTTCCAATCGTTGTTGGTATTATTACAGCTGCTATTATGATTACTGCTGTTATCGCTATATTGTCGCCCCTGTGAGGGGCTTTGGCGATCTTCTGAGCGTCTACTACCAACCTTTCGGATGCTGCGTGGAGTGCGGCTGCTGCTGGTGCAGTGCGCTCTCATATCATACGCGAGATTCGTCTCGATCTGCATGCATCGATGCTGAAGGCGAGATTTCAGCGTTTGCACTTCCTCCTCGAGCTCTTGACGACGTTGCTTCGCGGAGTCATAGCGTATGTTGAGGGCCTTATCCTCCGCCTCTTCCTTTCCCCTTGTGATCCTACGAGAAGGCACCGTGGAGGGTTGACTGTGACTTGAAGTGGTCCTACGCGAGGCGGAATCATGCGGTTCAGAGCACATCGCATGGCGGTAAATCGCGATTGCGGCGTGAAGTTGCTCTATCTTGCGTTTGTTTTTCTCAAAAGTGTTTCTTAACTGTAGAACATCTCCCCGAACTACCCCTATAGCATAGTTCTTCTTCTTCAACTCCACCTCTAGCTCTTGGCATTTGGCAAGCATTGCTTGTCGGGAGGTTTGCCTAAGTTTGATACTATCTTTTAGATGTTCAATCTTTCTCTCAAGGCTTGCATGTCTGTAAATATTCTCGTTAACTTGACGATTTTTGATCTCCTCGGATGGCGGCAGGCGACGATGAAGTGCCTCAATCATATGTTCCACTCGCTTATCGCAACTCTCCAGCCCTCGCTTGACTATTTGCGCCTCTTTCAGCCTTTCTCTGGCTCGTTCGAGTCGTTTATTAACCCCTTCGATGAGACTTTCTACAGTGATTTCATTCTCACACTGACTGAACTTTTCTTCTAGATCTTTGTTAATTAAACGAAGTCTTTCCAATCTCACCATAAATGGTACAGCTTTCTTGTTTTTATTATTCATAGTGCGCTTTCTATTGTGCACCCCTCCTGAACGAACCGAGAGTTGTTCACCCATGTAATTTCTGCCAAACTCTCCTCTTTCCGAAGTAATTCCAGCGGACTGTGTTCGACTAATATTAGCTATTTCTTTCTCTTTTGCCTCAATCTGTGTATTCAAATGCGCGATCTGATCTTTTAAAGAGCGGAGGTTCTGCATCAACTTAGTCTCAATATTAGGTGAATCTTCAGAATCATCTGATGAATCCACGCGTTGGTCATCAAAACTAGCAATTTGGCGCCGAAAATTTTCTATTGCATCCGACTTTAAGGATGTCGGCAATGGCATCGGCAACTTCTGTGAGTTTTGCTGATGCTCCGAATCAATAGGCAGCTTGCCTTTCTTCCAAATTGTACTCACGATTGGAGAGTCGGGTTTAGAGAGCGTATCAACAGTATTGGGGGTAGTGTGAGATTTAATTGCCTTCTTTTCCTCGATAGGAGAGGGAAATGGAAGGGGAGTGTTGGAATTTTTGTCCGCCTGCATCTGCTGCCCGGATCTCGCAACGGTGCCCTTGCTAGGAGCACCAGAGGTAATGGCGGCTGCAGCAGTAGAAGCATTGATGGACTCAGAGGATGGAGATATAATCGTAACACTCGATCGACGTGAGGAAGAAACTAAGGAAGTTTCGAGGCGAGCGCTACTCTCGAGTTGATTGGTCCGCTGTGCTGGGGGTACGATGTGCAGTGTGCTGGTGATAATGCCTTTCACTGCACCCTGCCCTGTCGGGTGAGCTTGACGTAAAGCCCCCGCACTCGGCTGCGCGTCTGAGGAGAGTGATGAAGAAGCGGAAGAGTTTGTTTCGTTGGTTTCGACCTTGCGTTGCCGTTCTTCCTGTCTAACCGGCTGTTGTTTTTGCGGCAATACTTCACGCGAGGAGCATTCACTCGCGCTTTCGAAATCCTGCACAGTCCCTTCCATCGGAAGGTCTGCTCCTTCGTCAGCGCTCACGTCGCTTACGCTACCATGGCGATTCGGAAACACGAACGACTCCAGCTGCGGCTCCTCTTTCTCTAGCATCCAGACGGTTGTAACGTTGGATTGATGCATGATCCCATCCCGAGCCTCAGAAGCGGGATCCGTTGAAGCATTGCGCGGGAACACTGAGCGCTGCCCCTTCTGCGGTATGGAACTCGAGCCCACACCGTCAATCACGGAGGGGTTGCCCCTGGCATTTTGATGGGTAAAGCCCGCATTGCTCGTTTCCCGGGCTGCACCATAACTTTTATTGTTATACTCAATCCCATGAGTCGTGTTGTTTGTGCGTGCTTCACGTGTGTTTGAACTCGTCACATCTTTCTTCTCCTGCAGGCGAACCCCCCCTTCCTCCTCGTCCCCTGACCTGTTAAGGAGGTGATTTGCGCTGTTTGCTATGAAAGGAGTCACTTGTGGATTTTTTCGCATCGCCCAATCCTGAGAGGTGGATGAGACGCTGGATAGAGAGCTATGCAATGAGACTGACTCGGCATCTACATCCAGGGGAGTCGTAACAGGTGCCTTTTTAAGCCCTCCCCCGCTCGGTGAAGGTTCATGGAGTCGCGATGAAGTCCAATTAATATCTGAAAGCGAGGAGTCCCTCGAACTACAATCACGTTTGGAAGTATCTAAATCCAGGTTGGCGGCAGAAGTCGAGCCACTTTCTGAAAAAGTACCACCCACCGCTGCAGTCATAGAACGTTCTGCCTCCTTGGTATTTCCGCCTTCATGACCAGTACTATTGTTTTTGTAGTTTGCATTTAGTGTTGTGACTGAGTTGGTTAAGTCATCTCCAGACTCGAAATCATCCTCGTAACAATCATCGGAGGCAAGCATTTGGTCGCTTTTATGTGATGGAGAACAATGCACCTATCCTCTTCAGAGTTTGGTGAAAATATTTTTATATATCCTAGGACTCCTTGTAGAAAACGGAAGGCCAAGGCTTGAATCGTCCCTACATGATAATGATGATGATGCTCTCATTTTGTTTTTTCATTAATCGCATAAACCTAACCCCTTGCATCTGACAATCCCTCTTCGAAGAGCATATTTCTCATCTACCTTTTACTGTGTTTCTAGTCTAGATAATGAAACATATAGCTTGCAATCTTATCCGAGCTACTGCTAAAGTAAACCGATACACCTTCCCTCCCTCTCTCCTCCCCCTTTGTTCGCATACGGAAAAAAAGGGGCAAAAATATAATATCCCCCAGGTTGACAAACGTGTTCCTTAACTTTCAGAGCTGAGATATCCTCAAATTCCTTCTCTCCTAAAGTGTTCAAGAAGAAGGTAACAGCCTCCGTACAAGGTCATTGTCATAGTTAAATAATTGCAGAACAAAAATTCCGCTATAGCAACTACTACATTCAATCTTGGATGAATCATTGTGTAAGCTACCAGGTCACCCCTCAACATAGGCATCATATCGGTCTGCTCTCAGATTCGCTAAATACAACGCCTCCTCTCCTTCCGCGAGTCGTTCCTGGAGCAGGAGGACCACGCCAGGAGCATCCAGACAGATGATCCACACGTTCTTTTTTTCTCAGACCAAAAGTAAAGCAGAATGAGCGCTCAACACAGGGAAAGGAAGAAGCCAGAAAAGTTATCATGCCTCCCACCTCCACAACCGCGGGAAGATGCTCTAGCACTTCCCCGTCCGCCTCGATCAGGATCTCATCCCCGGCGTCCTTCTGCCGCTTGCGTAGAGTAAGATGGCCCCCACTTTTGAGCTCACCCCGCTGCGCATCCACAACAAAACGCTCACCATCAAAGGCAGTTGTGGAGGGCCAATACAGGTGGCGTTCGTTGTAAATGGATAAAAGTCCACTCAAAAAGGAAGCCCCAGTGGCCGCCCAGTTCGTGCAGCTCAGCAGGCCGTCAGTGGGGTTCGCGTGCGGTGTGACGTGTATCCCACCGCCATACCACCGACCATTGCCGAAAACAAAAGTAGATGACAAAAACGACACCCAGCGAAACGGCACCGCCGCCCCCGAACCCATAAGCTGTGGATCGCGAATCCCACGCCCCATGGCCGAGGAGGCGTCAGACCCGGTGTGAAAATTCCTTGAAACCTCCTTTGGGGTAGGCTCCGCGACGGTTTCAACAGAATCACCCTGAGAAAGACGCTCTGAACAAGGCGATAACAAGGGGTCTGGAAGATCGAGCTCCAGGCGTATCGCAGCCGGTCGGTCGACATATACACTCGCAGGGGGGTATAAAGGAGGTTCTTTAGACTTGGAGGGGAGACTCGAGATATACGGGGCATAAAATAACGACGTGCCCACTCGTGGTGCAAAGTTTGCACTCTCGGCATTGCCTGGTGAAACTACACTCTCCTTTGAGGTCATCTTTTCAGCACACTGCGCAAGCGTTGAGTCCTCTACACTACAATCATCTACGATGTCGTCACTGTTATTGCTCTGGGGCTCCCAAAAGTAGTAATACTCGCCGCTGTCTTGAAATTGGACTGACGTTGTTTGCCTACACTGCTCCGCCTTCTCACATAGGTCAAGGTTTTCATTTGACGTCTTACAGTTCCTTGCAATCTCGTCGAGAAAGTTTAAGAGTGTGTTACTGCATGAGGATGTAAATACGTGGGGAGGAAGACCTCGGCCCCCTATCCATCTTCTGCCTTCATTTAGGTGTCCACCCCACGGCAGGGGTAATGAAGGCAAAGGAGGCAGACGCATCAAACGAATCCGTTTTGGGGTCATCGACGGAAGTGCGATGGCCGCTGATAACGCAAACAACAGGCGTCCATTCAGTGCAGACAAATACGGAATTCTTTTGAGTCGCTCTGCCCACTTAACTACATCACACGATAGGCCAATGGAGCACTCGTTGATAAAAAAATGGACATGTCCAGTTTTTGGAAACGTGATGCGCCCAATGTCTACTTCATACGAAACAAATGCACGAGACGCGCCTGGCACCATTCTATTCCCGTCGTTTGAAAGTCTTCCCCCCGTCACTATCTCAAGGTACAAATTTCGATCAAGTTTTTTTTGGTGCACCCCGCCAACATCCGCCGCAAAATGATGAAAAAAATCCGAAGCGGTCGCACGAAGAACCTCCAGTCCCTCCTCTATCGTCGCACAACACAGCCCCAACCGCGCGAAGTCGGAACCCGTCCCGCACGGGATGTACAGTATTACCGGCAGGAAGCGACAGAGCACGGCCTTTTCCTCCTGAACACGGGCGTAGGAACGACTGGGGCCCTTTCTCGCCCGCACCCCATCCTTGTCGGTCCCGCCCCAGGGCCGACCGGCCCTCCCCGTGGCGTCCCTACACGACGGGTTGTCACACGACGGGTTGTCACAGGACGGGCTGTCACACGACGGGTTGTCACACGACGGGTTGTCACACGACGGGCTGTCACAGCCCGGCCACAGCGCCCTGAGGGGACCCACGAGGGGGTCCGGAGCCCGGCGGCCAAGGAAGCCGTGGAACGCCGCGAGGGTCCCGTGACAGGCGCCGTGGACGACCTCACCGAGCGTCCCGTCCCCGCCCAGGACAACCACCACGTGAAGCAGGCCCGAGGACGCGCCGGTGAGAGGAGGCTGGCCAGCCCTCGCCGCCCGCAGACGCGTCTGCCAGATCAGCCATGCAACCTTCTCGGCCACGTGGACGCCCTGCTTGGGTTGCTCGGTCTCGATGACCGTGACGGAGAGGGCGCCCCGGCGCGGAGGCCCGCCGAGGGGGCCCGCCTCCTCCCCTCCCCTCCCCGCCGGTGCCTCGTCAACATCGTCTACAGAGGCGGGGAGACGCGCGGCGTGCTGCGTGATGGATTCAACAGAGAACTCCGACAGAAATCGCGACGCTGGGTGCCGTTGGACGCACTCGAACCCACTAACACCGTCGGCAAGGCAGCCATTCCGGGAGAGGTGGTGAAAGATGTTCTCCATCTTCGCCTTGCCGAGCCCCCTCCCGCTGCTGGGATTCCCAATAACCCACACGCAGAACAGTGGATAACAAGAAGTCTCTGGTGGAGTCATCCGAACACTTTGTGGCGGGTGCTTTCGCGTTACATGCCTTAGTATTTTATTGAAGAGAAAAACAGAACAAAAAAAATGTGAGATTAAACTACCATACGTGCAGTGGGAGTAGCATATGTAGCAGTCAACAGCGGGTTTCCTTTTTTGTGTGTCCTATTACAACACACTGTCCTCTTTTCATATATTGGCGTTTATTAATATCATCGGGATACTTGTTAAACTGATTTTCCTTTCCGATCCGATTTTACGAAAACTAAAGTCTACAGGAAATTAGCGATACGATCTTTTATATTCACAATGAAGAGATAAAACGCATATCTAGATATATGGATATTCACCGATATTAAAGACCTGAAGTAGGAACAGAAGAAAAAAACAAGTACCAAGCGTGAGTAGGCACACACAGTTCTCCCTCATCATAAGGGTGAGTAAGGAGAACGTCACTTTGCTTTTTATGGGGATTAAAGCGGTTCACATATCTTTTCTATCAAAAAAAAAGGTAAAAAGTGGAAAGATTGGGATTACAAAAAACACACGCGAAAGAAGGTAAATCAGAATGCATGAAATATGCATAGACGAAAGAGGGGGAAAAAAGATGGTCTATAATCTTACTAAATAACTACAGATATAATTGCACGCATATCTATCATTTCTTACTCTCCGAATTGATGAAAAACAAATGACTACCTTGTGGCTTACAGGCTGTGTTCTTCAGACGGCTCGCTCACTCTCTTATCCTCATCAACTTGTTTCACTTTTCTTCGGTCGTACACCGACAAGCGAGACGGTATGGAGGTTAAATTAGGTTCCAGCAGTAGTAACTGCAGTGCTGTGTACACTAAATGTGGATCATTCCAACACTTCGGCCATGTTTGGTGGTGTTGAGGAGAATTGCTATCTTGTCTACCATCTGCATTCTCCGTAGAAGTGAGTTGAAATTCCTGTTCGGTTCGTTCATGTTGCCTTCGCTTTTGCTGTTGCCGCTGCATCCATGTGAGCACACGACGACGCAGCATAGAACGTTTCACCTCGTGTTGGATTAGATATTCCTTTAGCTGATGGAAAACGCTTTCGGCAATTTGTTTGGCTTCCAAAGGTGTGAAAGTGGTTGCCACCTCAGATGATGAAGTAGTATCGCCGCTATCCAGTACACCATCATTTGAAGCTTCAACGTTTGATGTATCTGAACCCCTCACAGAAGATATAGCGATGGCTGGCGTGATGTGCACGCGGCTTAACGCATCCTCAATTCGATTCACTAAAGCTGGAACGTTGAGCTGATTCATCTGTTTTATGGCTTCAACGACTTCACTGTCATCAATTAGTGCACTGTGTTGTCTTGAAAATTTTATATTATTAGCGTCGTGCGCTTGCATTTGATTATAGATCTTATCAAGTGCGTCTAGGATTTTAGTGAGGTCGGGTATTGTTTTTTCCTGCAAATCCGTATCCTCCGCGTTGATCATTCCCGACGATGAAGCATCCCACTGGATAATCAAGCATCTGATATCCTGTAGCACACGGGCCAATTCCTGCACAATTTCCTCATTGCGTTCAAGTGAACTCGATGAAAACGGAGATACAGACGTCGACGCATGTGTAGAATGAGAAGCCTCTGAGGAAAGGACAGCACTGCGGTTGCTGTTCTCGCTTTCAATTTGCGTGCGAACCTCAAAAATATCCCGCTTGATGGCTGGTAAGTTGGTATCAATTCGCCCCAGCACCTCCCCAAGAGTCTCGAACGACGCAATAAGCTGCTGAAGATCCTCCCGGAGCGGGTTCACACGCTCCTTAAGAAGTGCCTCGACGGCGTCGAAGAGCTTCTCCGGCGACCATTGTCCAACCATCGCGGAGAGGGACTTCACGAGGTGCGAGGTGGCCTGTTCGTGGCGCGCGGAAACCTCCTCGATGGCCTCCGTGATCATCGTTTTCAGCTCCACGGTTTGAGCAGCACGCGCGAGCTCGTCGTGCTCGGCCTGCGCCTGGAGATAGATGCTCCCGAGAGATTCGCCCGTCTGCCGGCGAAGCTGCGCCTCGCGCCGCTCCACAATCGACTCCACCACGGCCGCGATGCGAGTAGACTGCTCCACCAATACGTCCAAAGGAATCCCCCCCGCTGGAGGTGAAAAAGAATGCGAATGCGGTGGGAGGGTTAGCGCGCTCGGGGCGGGAGAAGTAACGGTAATCGGGGCGGCAAGCTCGCGGTAGGCCTCTCGGAAGATACTTTCCTTCTCAGGCCTCGCCTCAGATTCAACCGGGGGCGAAGTAGCAGAAAGAAAAGAAGCTCCAGCATCAGCAGACGAGGCGTCGAGTAAAGGAGCTACCGGGGGAAGTGCCGTGCGGCGTAGAAGGTATACGAGGTTGGATAGGCTGATTTGCGCCTGCGCGATGACGTATACTCCGAGAAAGAACTCCCTCACGTTTTCGGGCAGAGTCTCGTAGAGGTTTCCAATTTGATGTCGGAGAAGCTGCGCATCATCACCGATTAGATGACTAGCGTGAATCAGTAAATAGACACCTTCGCGGGCGGGAGTGGTTTGCATTGTAATACTATCCTTCACTTCTTTATCGCAATTCTTTTTCTCTTTGTTAGCTTTAACCCCACCAGCGGATCCTTTGTTGCTTTTTGGAGAGGTGCTGCTCTTGACTTTTGCTGCGGAGAGGGCTGCAACGGACACTCCGGGTTCGAACAACGACCTTGCGTGCGCCTCCGCGGACGCCATCCTCTCCAGTATCCCCGCTGGAACCTTCAGTTCATCTTGACAGTAGCGATTTACAGCCCCGATGGCGTTTAACCACGCCCCGCACACGCCGCTCGCTACCCCGAGGCTATAGACCACGACGCGAACCTCCCCCTGCGCGTGATCGACCAGCTGATCGCGCGCGAACGGCGCGCGCTGCGGCTGCAGAGACCAAGGCGAAACCCTCTTGAGGCTTGTGTACGCCGTTTCATCAAGGAGAGTGTGCAAAATGTTCAAATCCACAGGCCTGTCTTTGGGGCTTTGCCATACCACCCTCTCGTACTCGCTGTTGTGGAATACCCCACTATTACTACTACCGTTATTAATAGAACGAGATCCGACCCCTGAATCGGATAACGGCGGTGGATTTGAAAACGTGCCATTCTCCATAGTGGTAACCTTACCTCGCGCATCTATTTTTTCCGCCTCACTAGCAATGGGGGTACGCGCAATTTCTTTATCTTTCTGTATCAAACCAACAGAATCGTTTGCGCTCTTTTGCGTATCTCGTGAATCGTTCGCCTGCAGTTTTTTGACTACAATAGCAGGTGATAGACCTCCACCCGTCAGAAGTTCCAGCTGCAAGTGGCCCGTATGCACTACTGTTGATAACTCCTTATCCATCACCCACACCGCCGGGCGTGAGAACATCTTTTTAAATAGCTTGAAGGCGCCTTTTAGATGTGATTTCGCCTCGGATGGAAAATTCAGGTTGTCGCGTAAGTGGGTAGCCACTGCTTTACAAAGCGCAAGCTGCTCTGCAAGCGCGTCCGCTGTAGAAAGGTTTGTCATAACAACTATTAAAAATGGGTATCGTATTGCGCGAACTCCCTCCAAATCCTTTTCAAGAGCATTATCTATGAACTTTTGTATGGCTTGTTGAATTAAATGAATCACTCGATCCTTTGCTTTGTGCTTCTCTGACGAGTTGTCCGTATCATACGAGTAATCTAACAACAATAAATTAGCAACTATTTGTGAGACATTAAGGACAGCTTCACGATTCATATCCTTGGCGATTGAGTGCAAATCGAGGACGTTACAGAGCGGAACTACTGTATTGAATATCTCAGACAACGGCAGGGACCGATACCGTCCACCTCTTCCAGAGGTTTCTCGAGCGACAGCTTTCCATTGATCGAAAAAAGTAAAGGTAGGTGTTGCTGTCTTGCCTAGACGACGCCCAGAATTGCTAGCTACCATCTTGTCAGAGTCAGCGCTAATAGAAGAAGGCGAAGTTTGTCGTCGCAACTTCCGACTCTTGCCATGAGCAGAGGGTTGTGATGTAGTTGCCAACCCCGCCGTGATAACCCTTTTGTTGAACCCAAGCCCATGACTCCTTCGACTTAATCGATATGAAATTAAACGAAGCATCAATTTTAGAGAATATGAAAAGAATCCATGAATATAAGTATTCCTTTACAATGCCGTCTATATGTGAACAAGACGAAGTATAGGCTGAGTTTACTTTGTTTCTTTTGGTTTCTAAGAAAGAAAAGAAAGAATAGAAATTAGATATTAAATTCACGAACGACTTTTTCGCATTTATGCAAGACACCCATTTAGCCTCTATGCATAAATAGTTTCATCATTTTCCATCTGCCTTTTAGCACGTTATGAGGAGAATTCTTCAGGGGGGAAGAAGTCCTTTTATTTTGCTCACATATGTAACACAATTCCCATATATTAACCATTACTTGACGGTAAATAGAAGGAATGCCCCTTACGATTCAAAAAAATTAGCACAAAATAAAGATCTAAAGTGCCGATCGGTGTACCAACATATTTGCAGGCAAAAATATGAGATGTACCCCTCGTTTACTTCAAATATTTAAAAAAAAGAATAATGATGACACTGTGAAAAATATATGAAAATACTGATACATTATATCTATGTATATATATATATATATAGGTAAAAAAAAAGCCTAAATACCATCTTTAATAAAGGCAGTCTAGCCGTAATGGCTCTATGTTTTAAATGATCATACTAATACATGTTTCCCTCTTCTAAACTGTCGGGTATTCCTACGCGAGTAACGGATAGAATATACAAGGAAACCAAAAGAAACGGAATTTCGCCCACCACGTCCCCTCTTCTTTAGTGAATCACTGTGTTGGGAATTTTAGGTATCTCTTGGAAGCACAAAAACCTGTGCACGTTTGAAAGCCTCCCGTTTTTGAATTTCCTCCTCAATCGCCGCCCTCTGCTCCTCACGGGCGCCTCGACTAAGAAAGCTATCGCGAACTACCAGCAGCACTAGCGGAACACTTCTTGCCTCCAACGCTTCTAGCGAAACCCCCTCGAGTTCAAGAGCCGCCACTACGGCGGCTACGGTGCTGTCTACCGCATAACTAGGCGAGACGGGCCTTTTGAGGTTCCCTCGACAAACCCGCTCCGAGACGACGACCAGGACGCCGAGCCTGGGGAGGAGGCCCTCCAGCTCCATCCGGACCCGCCTCGGGTTCCTTTTCATCCCATTCGGGTCGTCCTCGTTCTCACGGAGGAGCTTTGGGGCCAAGAACGGAACGAGGAGCTCGCGCAAACGCGCGCGGCGATAGACGACCGTCCCGGCGGCGAGATCATGGAGGGGCATCCCCGCCAAGAGGGCGGGCGCGACGCCGTGGGGGTAGGCGGCGATGAGCTGCACCGCATCGGAGACGGTCTTCTTCGTCG